GAAGATGGCTGCACCAGGACCTATTCTCTCGGCATAGTTGCCTCTCTTCAGCAGCCGGTAGACACGACCCACTGGGAACTGCAGACCAGCCTTGGCCGATCTTGTTTTCTTCACTGCAAGGAGGGACTTGGTGTTTTTCTTCACTTGTTCAGACATTCTGACATCAACCCTAGTGCAAAAATATGAAGAGATGAAAACAAGAATCACTGCTTCTAATGCCTTAAGTTATAAAGGGGCAAAATGTTAAAAAAAAAAAATGAAGTGGGCAAGAACATGGTAGTCTTAACCACTTTCTCCTCATTCTAAGGCATTTTTTAAATTCTCATATAAGTATTTTTTCCCCTTCCTCTATCAGAAAGAATAGCTCAGCTGTTATTTCACTACTTCGTCCAAAGGAGAAACAAGTTARGCTGTTCCTCTAGGGAGCCCTGACAAATTTTCAGTACAGCAATAGTAATCTATAAGTTCAGTAAGAGCAACATGACTGCTACCTGGCAGATCCCCACAGTTTCCTACTCTTAAATTCTACCTTTCTCCTGGAGAWCTTCTGACCCTGTATGAAAGCAGGAGCACTGTTAAAAAGAGAAGATTTCAGAATGCTTATGAGCATTTAGAAAACCTCCTGGAAAGCTTCATTGAACTTACCCCAGGTAAGCAACTAGGAAGTTGCTAAGGTATTAGGACATTAGGACCTTGGGAGAAGAAAAAGAGAAACTCATGTCTTCATCTGAAGTAAAAGCAACAAAAATAAAGGTTTAATCTGCTGAAAACCACTTCAAATGATTTTGTCTTCCAGAAGTGAGAGGACCCGCTGCTGCAGGATAATACCTCACTATCAGGAGYGAGGTTTGTAGGAAGAGATATCTGTTTTATGCTAGATACTTGAATTACTCTACTCAGCACACTGTGCATCAGGCTGCCACAAACACAGCACTGTCTTTTTGCATGGTATTGCATCCATTTTAATGGATCTCTTCCACTTACTGCTGACATAGAATCTCTGTTACTTAATAGAGGCAATTACTACTCAATGTGTGTAACAAAGCAGCTGGAAGAAGGAGATAGGAGAATTCTGCTGTTGCATACAATACTCTTACTGCTAAAAAAAAAAAAAAAAAAAAANAAAAAAAAAAAAGCAAACAAGCAAAAACCTCCAGCAAGCTTAAGAGATGTTTTACCTAGAATCAAGGAGGAATTAAATCAGATGTTTAACTAAAAGCCACTCATACAATAAAAATTCTCTGAGAGAATTTGTGAGCACCCCAGCTTTTAGAGTTTAGGAGTAACTCGTTTCTAAAATTAAAAACAAAAAAACAAAAAAACATATATAAAGAACAGCCTTGGAGTAGCACTAAATTTCTTCATTACTCAAGAGGATAAGAAAACATACTTGACTTAAGAACAAATTTTACCTTAACAAATGAAGCACTTAAACTCTTTTCTTACAATTCCATTGCCCAGATCTACTAGATTATTCACTCTGTAAAGCAGTGCCCTTTTTAAATTCATGGATAACAGCAGCCATACGGTTACCTTAGTGCATTCAGTGCCACCTGAGTGACTGATGGGTCAGCCACTCAAAACARAAACCAATCCAGGTTACCACACAGGAGCAACTAGGTAGAGCATGATGATCTATCACTGTTTCCTGTAGAGCTGTTTAGCACCTTGTTAGCCAATCTGCCACCCTGAAAACAGGAGGATATTAACTGCCAGAAAGAATTGCACTGACCCTGATTGACAATTTATTACAGGTCTAGGCTTGTCAAGTAAAAAGTGATAAGAGGAATCATTTCAAGGTGCATAAATGCATACATTGSCTTCAAAATTAGAAACGTTTGTCCAATACTGCTCACTAGCCTCAAATGCTAAATAACTTTCTCCCAAAAAGGTGATTGAGTAATTAGAAGACACAAGGGAATGTTTGTTAAAGGACTGCTCTGTTTGCTCTTCATTCTTCTTCCTCCAGTATTTGCTTTCCAGTTACAGCTCTGGTACGTCTTCCTCATCCGTACTCACATTGGGGATTAAAGTGTCAGGGCTGTTTTTTAGTTAGAGTTGATAAGGGAACTGCACACCTGAATGGATGCAGGAAGAGAAAAAGTCTCTCCCTGCATATTTTCCAAGAATTCAAAGCAGTAACCTACAACCACCATGACACTTTGTGCTGCCAGCAGTGACTGAACTGCCTTAKGACCATGTTGCAGAGCCTGTGGAAGCTCAGGATATCTCACATAAAGATCTCTCTGTTCTTTTACACATCCCCATCTTTCATACAGTTCATCTCCTTCTCAAAGCTACATCACGAGCACTGATTCTTTTAAGGCACAAGATATATTCTCTAGAGCTGAGTGTGCGTGGATACTTGATTTTTTTTATTGTTTGACATATGGGTACTGAAATGTTGAGCTTGTGCCCAAGAGAAACAGTCACAGAGCTGCTGGGTTAGGAGACRTCCACTTTGTGTCACTGTGTACCCAGAAAAGTGATTTTTTCAAATCACTAGGCTATCTGTTTAGCTAACAAATGGGTCAAGCTATCAATGAGGAAAAAAAAGTGAAATTGATTTCAACAGCAAAAAAATAGATGAGCTTTGGGCTACACCAGTACCTCATCCTAAGCCCTTTACCTCTAGTTATGAAATAGGGCCTCTCTGTCTACTCTTCTAACATCTCTTATAATGCAGAGATGCTAGCCAAAAATATTCGCTACCTTTGCTTCAATGGCTGCCATGTCTTGCAGAATCTGCTTTGATGCTCCAGAGCAGAAGTAAGTGAAAAAGTTAGACAAAGGACAGTTTTCTAGAGTAGCTAGGGGTGCTTCAAGCACTTCACTTGAGTCTGGCAAGGCTACCTCAAACCTTTAGGCTTTTGCTTGAGCCCAAAGAATTGAGTTCCAAGAGCAATTTCCATCACTCTGATTAAATGGAAGAACTAACTTTATTTTCATGTGCCTTTTTTTTTTTTTTCTCCTTCCCTCCCCTCTTCTTTCTCTCCCCTGTACCTCCCTTAAGGCTTCTTCCATTTTCAGGTGTGCACATTCAACACAAGGCTGAAGCCCTTGTGGTGGGTATAATGCAATGGAAGAGAGATTAGGGCTTGTGTTGGACCACTATCCAAAGTTAACAGTTCACCGTTGGTCTATGAGTAACACAACTTTAAAGCACAGGGTTACTACCTCTAAGAGTTAGACTAACTATGGAGTGTTGAACTAGTTGTGCTACAAGTCTGTAATGGAAAAAGATTACATAAATGGCTACACACATCTGGTTGCCTTCACCTATTGCAAAGCCATTGCTTCTAACACCTTTTCAAGGTAGATGAGTACTCAGCTTATGTCTAGTCATCAGGGGAACTGGGTAGCAAAGAAAGGAGAATGATGTTGCATTCTAAGAACTTTATTACAAGCTTTAAAAAATAGCATTAAAAGTAGTGGGAAAATACTAGACAGAGAAGTAAATACACAATTTGCAACAGTGCTATTGAGTTCCATTGTCAGTAAGTGCACAAATCAGACCAGGAAAGAAAAAAAGTCAAGTTTCAATTGCTTCCAAGTCACTCCTGGGAAGGAGCAGGTTCTTTATGAGTTCTCTTGGGAAGGAGCTGGGAAAGGATATTCGGCATAACCCCTCCTTGGGCRATGGTMACGCAAGAGAACAGTTTGTTGAGCTCCTCGTCATTTCTCACAGCCAGCTGGATGTGCCGTGGCAGAATCCTGGCTTTCTTGTTCTCCCGGGCAGCGTTCCCYGCCAGCTCCAGGATCTCCGCGCTCAGGTACTCCAGCACCGCAGCCARGAAGATGGCTGCACCAGGACCTATTCTCTCRGCATAGTTGCCTCTCTTCAGCAGCCGGTAGACACGACCCACTGGGAACTGCAGACCAGCCTTGGCCGATCTTGTTTTCTTCGGCACAGCTCCAGGTCTGCCAGCCACAGCAGGTTTTTTTCCACGTCCAGACATCCTAATAATGATGAAGAAATAATGAAGGGACAAGAAAGTAGGTATCTTAGCATGGGGAATTTCAGCCACAAATAGTTGAGAGCAGGACACCAGGAAATGAAGACAACAGCAAGCTCCGTTACATTTTTCTGGTTCCCTACATCAAGAGAAAGAGACAAGGAGAAAAAAAGCAGCATTTTTCTCCCACTTAAAAAAGTTAACAGCCCAAYAGCCATGCTAAGATCTTAATTACTAGGTTTCTCACTACAGCCTACCTTTCAGCAAATGAATGTAGGTGAAAAACCTGTGGCTTGATAACCTATCAAGAAAGGCTTTTAAGAGTAGACTAGTAGAACTCAGAGACTATTCTTCTTGATGTCAGTAGGTATTTGAGACTGAATCACACTTTTTTTTCTAAAGTAGAAATTTATCAAAAACCATGGTCACCTTCTTAAAGGTAATTTGAGCTTAAGTCTGCTGCTTCTTCAGGAAGCATAAGTTATGCTCTACATTTGTTCATTTCTTTTTTTAAAGGGCAAAAATTGAGAAAATTCCTACAGCCCACAACATCTCATCCTTACAAACCTTCAGGATGATTTTCATAGGAAATTGAAGGCTAGTTACCCTAAGAATGTTTTCCAGGTGCTATGAAAATATCAGTTCTGCTCTGTACATAGAGAAGAACTGAACTGGATAGAGTACTACAGTGCTGAGAATAGAGCCTATGGTTTGCTTACTAAGAACTCAACAGGGCAATCCAACTCTAAGTATGAAAGCTAAAGAACACTTACAATAGAAGAATAAAATCTCATTTAAATAATATTTCAAATATGAATAAGTAGAATAGTTAACTTCCATCAGTTATTCACAATACATGGGATGACCATCTATCTCTAGGTTCATGAAAATATTTTTGCATAGTTTTAAACAGGAAATGTAGCATTTAAGAGAAAAAAAGCAAGATTTAGCAGGAAAAGAAACAAAACAAGAAAGCTCTGAACCAAATAATCCAAGAAAACCAGCTCATAACTTCTTAGCCCTCYTAACTATCAAAAACCTTCCTATTCTAATTACTTACTTCAGATATAGATATATTTCAATATAAATACAGCAACTTTTAAAATACCCTGAACCTCAGATACTTCTCTATAAAATATAAATGAAAAAAAATCATCTTGATACCTTCAAAAGAAATAAAGAAAATCACTTATTTTAGCCTGGTCTGTGTTTTGTTACAGCATACACCCAAAGGCAAGCAAGACACATGCACAGTCACCTCCTGATCCTGGGGCAGACTTTTATTAGAGACTCATTACAGGGCACCTGGCAGCTGATGAGTCATTTCCACATGTGGCTCAGCTTGCTCCTAATGCTTGATTTGGTTAAAAAGGAAGAGCTACATTATGATGTGCAGGAGGTAGGGGATATGTTGCTGTCTATAGCATACTATAGCTGTGTTTGAAACTCAYTGCACCTTGAGCTCAGTGATTAATCCTTCTGCCTTGAGTATTCTTGTCCATATACCATGTGTAAAAACAGTCCTTGTATGTGCTTAAATAAATAATAGTTAAAAAATGCTCATRCTTTTTCTGTGTTTGCTTTTCAGTGCTGCAAATAAGTCCCAGCCAACTCTGTGGAAAAGCTGAGGGTGTGAACAGCATATGAGAAGAGCAGGTCCTCCTGAGTGCCTTGGCTCTGACACAGCATCTGTATGGGGACCAACAGCAACATCTGCCTGCCAGGTACTAGCTGTGGGTCAAATCCAGAAAGACTCTAGTATTTTAAGAAGACTTATGGAAGACTCCAAAATTATGACTTCAAAATGCTTAACTCAGATGCTGCCTCATGAGAGGCTACCTAGATTCTGCCCCTTTTGCCTTTCTAAACTGAAGTTGTCACATCAGCTGYAAGCACAGCCTGGTTTCTCTGTGTGCCCAGATATCCTCCAGAATGAGGAGGGTCCTCACCAAGTGTATCTGCAGGTATCCGTTTATTCTGATTCTTACAGAGAAAAGGTGACTCTGCCTCCGAGGTAGAAATGGTGATTGTGCCTGCCCTTTGGTGATGTCCTAACATCACCAAAGGGCACTTAGAACAGCTAAGCTTTGAACACCAAAGGGCACTTAGAACAGCTGCCTATATGGGAGAAGACTAAAATGTAGGCTGTCATTGCAGACCTGAAAATACTAATCTCAGTGAAAAGGATACTCAAGAGACTGAATGAGTTGGGCCAGATCAGCTGAGAGAGGATCTGATTAACATGTATAAGTTCATGAAGGGAGTTCATGTAGGGAGGAAGGGGTCAAGCTCTTCTCAGTGGTGGCCAGTGACAGCACAAGGGGCAGTGGGTGTAAGCTGAAMCRCAGGCAATCCCATCTGCATGTGAGGAAGAACTTMTTTCCTGTGAGGGTGCCAGAGCAGTGGAACAGGCTGCCCAGGGAGGCTGTGGAGTCTCCTTCTCTGAAGGCCTTCCAAACTCGTCCTGATGCCACCCTGTGCCCCGTGCTCTGGGTGTTCCTGCTGGAGCAGGGATTGGACTAGATGATCTCCAGAGGTCCCTTCCAACCTTAACCATTCTGTGATTCTGTGATGCCTTAGTGGATGGGAGTCTCTGCTACAATTGTTGAAATTCTGCTACTGTGCAGAAAGGTACTCACAAGCTCAGAGKAGGGAGAGAGCCCTGGGTTTAATCCTAGATTTCCCTCTGCATTTTACAGCAACAGATTAGTGGAGAAAAACAGTGGCTGAAACAGGCCATTAAAAAGCATTATTTCTCTGAACATAAGTGTTCTAGCACTTTTCTGAATAAGTCTTCAGTGAGTGTTAACAGGATGTTCATGCTGTTACAAACATGTTATAACGAGACTTAGAAATTTCCACTTCAATCCCCTGAGAGAGCAGAGAAGCAGTAGCTCTTTTGCATCCCCCTAACCTGATTTTAAGGCCTGCAGGCAATCAGGGTTGGGACATTTTTCTGGGACCTCAAGACTAGGTTTCACTCTTCCTGGATGAGGGTATCGAGTACCAGACAAATGCTTAAGAAGAGGGTGAGTGGGAGGAATGGAGAAGTTCTCTTCACCCTTCTCATCTCCTCATCTTAAGAAAGATTAAATCTGCTCAGTCCTTTGAAAGGGCAGAGGTGCCCTTTTTAGAGAACGGAGAGCTGGTTCAAATTGTATGGCACGGCTTCCCTAAAAGCCTGCACGAGACTGAAGCTCTGGGTGGGGTTAGATCTCATACCCAATCCTTCTCTTCTCTTCTCTTCTCTTCTCTTCTCTTCTCTTCTCTTCTCTTCTCTTCTCTTCTCTTCTCTTCTCTTCTCTTCTCTTCTCTTCTCTTCT